AGGAAGGAAGGAAGGAAGGAAGGAAGGAAGGAAGGAAGGAAGGAAGGAAGGAAGGAAGGAAGGAAGGAAGGAAGGAAGGAAGGAAGGAAGGAAGGAGGAAGAAGTTAGGTAGAGTGGACTTTCGGTCACTTTTTTCAGTCCTAAATTGCAAGGAGCTCCGTATTCTGTCATCGAAGCTGGCCTTGTCAGCACATAGAGCCTTCTCACCTCATGCTTAGACTTGGAAAAGTGAAGAGAAGTATCTGTCAACCCCTTGAAGCAGGATACCATTCTCGTGATGTTTTGAAGCAAAGCCCTGTCCAAGTCTGGTTAATGCCGCAAAACATGACCTTGCTCTTGTAGCAATTCTGGGTCTCCACTTGGCACCTAAGCAAAGTAACACTTGTTCTATATGTGTTTAAGGCACTTTTCTGGGTTATGAACTTCTATGCCAGAGGATATTGATTGACAAAGGTTGTGCATGACATCAGGGAAGTCCTGTATCCCTTTGTATTTCATCTCCTACCTGTGCAATGGGGCAGCGGTACTGCATTTGTGCATAAGGGATTGTGAAGTTCTATATCTATAATGTAAATATAGAACTTGAGATACAGAACCACTCAGCCCTGTAGTGAGCAAGACCACAGAGTTTCAGACAGGTCAACAGAGCTTCAGCTGAATCTGAAATACTCTCTCTTTTGCAGCCTCATTTAGCTCACAGAGACTATTAAATTTAGATACGGTAGCAGCTGCAAGATTCTTAGATATGTGCAATACCTGAAGTTGTATCACTACCTAAAGAGCAGCGAACAAAATATTCTTTGAAGTCTGACAAAGCTTCTTAGTTCAGAGTTGTAACTCCTCAGGAGGCTTGTTTTGGGGATGTTTGTTATGTGTTTTGTTTTGTTTTAATTCAAGCTGGTGCTTGCTCTGGCTTGTACATACAAGTAGATATACTTGTTTGCACCCAGTAATATATTAATGTTCCCAGGAGCACCCAGGCTTGTTCAGCAGAGCTGAGGCATCCCAGCATACTCCAGCTAACCCACTTTAGTAGGTTGCACGTCAGCACGTCAGTGATGATGTAGGTGGTGCTTCCTGGCAGGTCTGAGTTACTTTCACTTCACATTTAAGCAAATTTACCTTGCCAAAGTGCCACTGGTAAAGTCAACAGAGATGTCAGGGTTGTGTTAGCTTATGCTCTTCCAATGCACTATTTGGAACTAACACTGCATAGACCAGAGGGCTTGCCTTCACAAGTCACAGAGTACTGAATGTGGAACAGGAAAAAATAACAAGATTGCCTATATACAAACTTCTGCTAGACATTTGGTAATGTTTCAGTTAAGATAATTCTCTACCTCAGCAGTTAAATTGCTATGTTATCAGAATGACCAACCACAGTACAAAAAAAAAAAAAAAAAAAAAGACATAGAAAAATTCATTTTAACCTTTCATTGCTTGAGAATGTAGATTTTAGGCATAACCATCTGGTACCAGGTGAGATAATCGATAATCAGAGGGCAGTAAAATCAGCAGGAGCTCCAGGAATATCTTTGCTTGGCTTGTGATATTACTTCACAGGGGGGCAGGGCATGGACAGCAAATTCTCTCCGCAGGAGGGGTTGCTGCAGCAATTAATAGATGGTTTGCCAAGGAAGAGCACTGAGTAAAAAACAACAAAATTATACAGAGAGTTTGCTCCTATAGACCCTTCCTTAGAGCCTGGTAACAAAGCTGAGAGGGGCTGTAGTGCCGCGATGCTCTCCACTAGCTAGACCTGAAAGTCACTCAAAAGGAGTTTATTGGTCCAGAGGCTGGGAGCACCTAGACTTACGAGACAGGAAATAGTTATTTGCACTGTTACAAACCCCCTTTACTGCTATAGGAAAGTAACTCATTTCTCAAAGCAGCACTGCAGGGTCCCAGTGTGGTCAAATAAATCCATTGTAGCCTTGGTTGCAGAGGCTGTAGGAATGTGGGCAGGCGGTCATCACCCATGCAAGCACTGTCATGAAAATACAACCCAGCCATTTCCCAGGTCTCACTAATCCAGGACAAAGAGCTGTGCTGTCTTGCAGAATTGTGGAGGAACAGAGGACAAGTTTGGATGAGGCAACTCACATCAATCCTAGGAGTGGACGGAACTGCAGATAGGAGTCATACAAACACAGGTCATCACCAGCATTTGTTTATATTCCTTTACAGTCAGTTGTCCTTATACCTTTTATGTCTTGGGCACATGTAAAATACTTTCAGTGATAGCAAGAGTTCAAAGGACTGAGTGGAGCCAAATTAGTTCAGCTGTACTTGCTGTCGCAGGCTCGTGTGCAAGTATGCAGGTATGAGTAAGAAAAATTACTCCTTAGATTAGGCTAAATTTAGATCTATGCTTGCCAGAAAGAAAAAAAATAGTGGCAAATTAGGTATAATGAGTTGTGATAAAACAGATTAATAGCAGTGATTAGCCAATGAAAGAACACCTCACATCAGGAAAAATATTCCTCTTTCCTCAAACTCATACTGGTGAGACTTTTTCAGACTGCCATTTCCTTTCATCAAATGGGAAAGAGAAAACTGTAAAAATACTAATGATCTTTCTTAATATATAAAAACTTCTATGGATTTTAAAACTAGGATTCTTTTCCTTCTGCTTATAAAATTATTTATCCTACCTATTTCTTTCAATAAACATTTAGTATTAAGGAACTATGATCGTTTTGCTTTACAGTAAAGGTTTCTCAAAATTAGAAAGATCAAAAGTATTTTGGGGACAGTAGCCTCAGAGAAATAACTTCTCAGTTAAATAATGAATGTATCTTTATTTAGGGTAGCACTCAATGCAGTCTATACCTATATTTGAAGTTGATTTGGAGGTTAAGATTTGGGAAGGTAGAGACTATAGAGCAACAATAAGTTTGCCAATGCAAAGAAATACAAACTAGGTTTATGATAGCAGCCAATAGATTCTGCAACAAAAAAACTACAAATGACATTAGAGACTGTAATGCCATCTAACTTATTAGTATAAGCATAATTTTAGAACTAGGAACAGATCTCAGGAAATTAGAAGCTATGGAATAATCATGCCATTCAGAAGACATCATAGCATGAATTTTAAGATGGTAACCCTTAGGTGTCTGAATGACAAAATTAGGAACTATGATTGGAATTCCATTTGAAAGTTTAAGTTTAATGTTATAGCAAGATCAAATGTGCCAAAGGAATGTACCATGCAGCTGTTCAGTCAAGAAGGAAGGACATAAGATGAAGCAAACAGCGTGTGACTGTTGGCATGTGATTGTTATGGGTGACTCCCTGCTGCAGGGCATGGAGGCACCAATCTGCAGACCTGACCCCTTGTCCAGAGAGGTCTGTTGCCTGCCAGGGGCTCAAATAAGGGATGTCATGGAGAGACTGCCAAGACTTGCTCAGGTGTCTAACTATTATCCCTTGCTACTCTTTCATGTTGGCACTAATGACATGTCTGGGGAAACTGAGCAATATCAAAAGACATTTCAGAGCCCTAGGGACAGTAGTCAAAGGTCTGGGGGCCCAGGTTGTGTTCTCCTCTATCCTGCCAATGAGAGGAATGGATACGAAAAAAAAGATATTGCAGGTTAACAACTGGCTGTGCCTGGTCTTAGCAACAACTGGCTGGTTGCTGGTCTTAGCAATAGGATTTTGGTTTCTGTGACTATGGGCCACTGTTTGAAGACCAGCATCTAGTGGGCAAAGATGGCAGTCACCTCAGCAAGAGAGGCATGCGTGTCTTTGCCAACAGGTTGGCCAGCCTGGTTAGGAGGGCTTTAAATTAAGCAAGAAGGGGGAAAGGGAGTGTTACATGGATAGGGCAATCAGTGTGATGCAGCCAAAGTCAGAATGCGTCCAGCGGGAGCATGGAAGTGAAAAATGAATACAAGATATGATTATAGAGGATGCTCTTTCACCCCTCCCTGGAAACCTGCAGGCTTGATTACTTCCCTGAAATGCCTGTACACTAATGCACACGGCATGGGGAAAAAAACAGGAGGAATTGGAGGTCTGTGTACGGTCCCAGAGTAATGCTCTCAGCGCAATTACAGAGACATGGTGGGGTAACTCACATGACTGGAGTGCTGTCATGGAAGGCTATGTGCTTTTTAGGAAGGACAGGCTGGGAAGGTGAGGTGGTGGAGTTGCTCTTTAAGTGAGAGAGCAACTGGAATGTATGGAGCTCAGCCTGGAGGTGGATGATGAGCATGTTCAGAGCTTGCGAGTAAGGATTAGAGGTCAGGGTAACATAGGAGATAGTGTGGTACATGATTGCTGCAGGCCACCTGACCAGGATGAAGAAGTTGATGAGGCCCTTCTACAGACAGCTGCAAATAGCCTCATGGACACAGACCCTGGTTTTCATGGGGGACTTCAACCACCATCAGCTGGAAAAACAACCCAGCCTGGCACAAACAGTATTGGAGATTCCTGCAGAGAATTGATGATAAATTTTTGACACAGGTTGTGGAGGAGTCAGCGAGGACTGGTGGGCTACTGGACCTGGTATTAGCAAATAGAGAGGGACTTGTTGGGGATGTGAAGATGGGGGGTAGCCTTGGCTGCAGTGATCATGAGTTGGTGAAGTTAAGGATCCAACCGGGAAGAAGCGGGACTGTAAGTAGCCTTGCAACCACGGATTTCAGGAAACCAACTTTGACCTCTTCAGACACCTGCTTGGAAGAATCACATGGGCTAGGGCTCTAGAAGGAAGGAGGGCCCAAGAGAGCTGTTTAGTATTCAAGCAGCACTTCCTCCAAGCTCAAGATCAGTGCATCCCTGCGAGTAAGAAGTCAGGCAGGAGAGGCAGGAGGCCTGCATGGATGAGCAAGGAGATCCTGGCAAAACTCAAACAGAAGAAGGCAGTACACAGAATGTGGAAAAAAAAAGACATGTCCTTTGGAAGGGATATAGGAATGTCATCAGGGAATGCAGAGATGCAACAAAGAAGGCTAAGGTGCATTTGGAATTAAATCTGGCAAGGAATATTAAAGATAACAAGAAAAGCTCTTCAGATTTATCAGCAGCAAAAGGAAGATTAGGGAAAACATGAGTCTGCTGTTGAATGGGGTGAGTGTCCTGGTTATGAAAGACCCAGGAAAAGCAGAGTTACTGAATGCCTTCTTTGCTTCAGTGGTTACCAAGGGCAGCCCTCTGGAGTCGCAGGCCCTAGAGACAAGAGAAGTCTGGAAAGAGGAAGACTTACTCTGGGTAGAGGAAGATTGGGTTAGAGAACACTTAGGTAAATTTGATACCCACAAATCCGTGGGCCCTGACAGGATGCACCCAAGAGTGCTACATGAGCCGGCGGATGTTATTGCTAAGCCACTCTCCATTGTCTTTCTCTATCATTCTGGAGAACGAGGGAGGTGCTGGAGGACTGGAAGAAAGCCAATGTCATGTCGGTCTTCAAAAATGGCAAGAAGGAGGACTCAGGCAACTACAGGCCAGTGAGCCTAACCTCCATCCCTGGAAAAATCATGGAGCAGCTCATCCTGGCTGTTGTCTCCAAACATGTGAAGGATATGAATACAATCAGGAGTAGTCAACAAGGGGAATTCATGCTTGACTAACTTGATGGCCTTCTATGATGGAATGACTGTCTGGGTAGATGAGGGGAGAGCGGTAGATGTCATCTATCTTGACTTCACCAAGGCTGAAGTCCCTCACAGCATCCTCTTGGGAAAGCTCCAGAAGTGTTTGTTAGATGAGTGGACAGTGAGGTGGATTAGGAATTGGCTGGATGGCAGAGCTCAGAGGGTTGTGATCAGTGGTGCAGAGTCTAGTTGGAGGCCTGTGGTTAGTGGTGTCCCCCGGGCATCAGTCCTCGGTTCAGTCCTGTTCAATTTATTCATCAATGACCTGGATGAAGGGATGGAGTGCTCTGTTAGCAAATTTGCTGATGACACCAAACTGGGCAGAGTAGCTGATACCCCAGGGAGCTGCGCTACCACCCAGAAGGACATGGATAGAATGGACAACTGAGGGGAGAGAAACCTCATAAAGTTCAACAAGGGCAAGTGCAAGGTCCTGTACTTGGGGAGGAATAA